CCCCCCACACACACACTGTCACCCTATTGGCTTCACTTCCCCTTTCAGAGCTGGGAGAGAATCCAGGCATCCGGGTACCCACCCCTCACCCTAGCATGGCTGATCTAACCTGATCAAGGATCAAATCCAGAGGGATCCCAAATTCCTTGGGGAGGGGGAAAAAGGGATGGTATGTTTTACCCCAAAAGCAGGGGTTATCCCATGGGATCCTTCCTCTGTGGATGTGACCAGCTCTGAGGCAGAGTCAGTGGGGAATGGACAAGTATAGCAGCACAGGGTGGGGAGGATTAAATGCAGCCAGCTCTGGGGCAGAACAGCCGAGCCATCATTAAAGGGCTGAAGTGCAGCCAGCTCTGGGCTGGAGCAGGTGGGAATGGCCAGCTAGAACTGCACAAGGGTGGCTGAGGTGCATACAGATTTACTTCGCTCTGGCGTGGGATGAGTAGGTAACAGCCTAGTATAGCATTCAAGGAGATAAGCCCAGCTGGGAGGCAGAACAGCCGCACGGAACAGCATGACAAGCAGCTGAGCTACACCCAGCTCTGGGGTGGTGCTATTGAATAGAACAGCATAGGGGGGAGGGTAAATGCAGCCAGCCAGCAGCACAGCTGAGTGTAACAGCACATGAGATGCACCCAGCTCTGGGGTGGAGCCACTGGGAAACAGCCAAGTAAAACGGCAAGGGAAACGTGCCCAAATCTGGGGTGCAGCAGCCCATTTCAGTGCCCCCATCTCCCCCCTCCCCTCCCCTTCCACAGGAGCATCTCGGTGCCAGCTGAACCATCGCCCCCTGAGCAGCCACCCAAGATGAATGACACCTATGCTGTGGTCAATAAGGTGCGGGGGCGTGGGGCAGCCCCTGCCCGCCCACCCCCAGCCCTAGAGTCCAGTGCCTTCCAGGCCAGCTGCTCCTTGCCAGGCAGCCCGGTGCGACGGTCCAGCCCCGCCCCCGAGTATGCCCAGCTCAGCCCCCTTCCTGCTGCAGGTAACAGACCCAGGCATTTGGGAAGAAGGGTGAGGGACCCAGAAGTCTCGTATTCGGGACCCAAGCATCTAGGTCAAGGAGGTGGGGTACCCAGGTGTCTATTGCAGGGGATGGGATGGGATGGACCCAGGCACCCAGTGTCAGGGACAGAGGTTGGGTAACTTGAGTGTCTAAGGTCAGGAGGCCTGGGAGAGACTGATGACCTAGGCATCCAAGGTCAAGACCCAGGTGTCCAGGAGAGGAATGGGGAACCCAGAAGGTGGGAGGTGGGTGGGTGTCTGGTGCTGGGATACAAGCCTCCAGGGACCAGGGAGTTCTGACACACTGTTCCCTCACAGGCGACTCCAGCCCTCGTGGCTGTCCCTCCCCAGCGCGTGGAGCCCCACCATCGCATGGCCTCAACCCCCTGGTGAGTGACCCCCAGGACCTCCCACCCCCAAGCATGACCCAGGCATCTGGAGTGGGCAGTCAGGGACCCAGGTGGCCAGGAAAAGGGTTGGGGAGAATCAGGGATCCCAGCAAACCCCACTGGGGTCAGCCCAGACACCCAGGTTCTTTCCCACCTCAGGAGGAGGAGTGAGGTGCTTTCTGGGGGCCTAGACTCCTGGGTTCTGTTGCTTAGCTTATCTTTCCTCATCTCTCCAGGGCTTCAACTCATCTCCTGCATGGAGGGGTGAGTGTTTTGCGGAAAGGGAGACTTATTCCAGCAGGACCCAGACATCTGGGGTGGAAGGGGGGGGGTAGCTGGGGACCCAGGCATATGGGGGGGAGTGAATGGGGGACCCAGGCATTTGGGAGCAGAAATCAGTGACCCAGGTTTGCAGGGTTGGAAACCCAGGTGTCCAAGGGAGAGGGCTGGGACCCAGACAGCCAGAGTAGGGGTGTGGGGGTCAGAAATCAGGGACCTAGCTGTCCAAAGGTTGCAGCCAAGCACATGGGGTCAGCAACTGTACTCCCACAGTTCCTCCCACTCCACTCCCCCTTGCAGGCTCAGGCCCAACCCAGCCTGCCTCCACTGAGGACTACGAGGATCTGAGCGATCCAGGGGGCTGCAAGGCAGAAATTATGGGGGGGACCAGGGAACCAGGCCTCCAGGATGGGGGAGGGGGAAGTCAGGCACACAGGTGACCAAGGGGTGAGCTGGGGACCCAGGTGTCCTGAGAAGAGGTCGGGACCCAGGTGGCAGGGGGGGGAAGGGCACAGAAGTCGGGGACCCAGGTGCCTAGGACAGAGAGAGTGGAGGGCAAAGATCAGGGACCCAGGTGTCCCAGATGTAAAGGGGGGGCAGGTAGAAGAGGGAGAATTCTGGGACCCAGCCATTGTGGGGGGGACAGAAATCAGGAACCCAGGCATCCAAGATGGCCTGAAGAGCAGGGACCCAGGTTTCTTTAAGGGGGACCTTTCCCCCCTTACCCCAACTTTCTCCCCCACCTCCAGGCTTTAACTTCCGTGTGGGGAAGCCAAGGGGGCCACGGCCACCCCCTGCTGAATGGACCCGGCTGTGAGGGGGCCAGGATGCCTGGGTTCTCTTCAGCTCTGCAGGGGGCCCAAATGCCTGGCTTCAAGGACAGGGCGGAGCTGCAGGAACCAAAAAGAGCCGTTTATTGTACCAGGCCCTGTGGAAATAAAGGGCCAGATGTGCAGCTCTGAATCTCACCTGCATCAGTTGGGGTGAGGGGGAACCCAGGTGCCTGGGACCTTAATCCAGGCCCCAGGAACTCCCACGCCTGGCAAGGGACCCAGGCATCCAGAAGCCTGATCCCAGACCCCCAAAATATCCCACACTGGACAGGGTACCCAGGCATCTGTGACCCTGATCCCAGGCCCGGAGCCCCACCCCCCCACGGGGCAGGAGACCCAGATCTCAGAATACCCCACACCAAGCAGGGAGCTCAAGCATCCAAAAGCCTGATCCTAGAGCCAGAGCCCCCCACACCAGGCAGGGAACCCAAGCATCCAGGCTCCAAATTGTGGATCCAGAACTACCACCATTAGGAAGGAACCCTGGTGTCCACTCATGGACCAAGCCCCACCATGGGGCAGCAAACCCAAGCGTCCAAGCCCCCAGCAGCCCCCGGCAGGAGAGAACCTAGGTATCTGGGCCTAGGGAGCACTAAGCAGGCGGCGCTTGGGGGCAGTGCGGGTGTAGGGGTGCCAGCGCCACTCCACGTCGGCCACTGGCTCCTGGTCCAGCGGTCCCAGCTTGATCATGTACGCTGCGGAGAGAAGGGCAAGTCAGGGGGGGGCCCCCCCCAGTCTGGAACCACCCCTAGCCAGGGCAAGGAATCCAGATGGGCGCAGGGCTTACGCTTCATTTCAAACCGAGGTCCAATCTCAGTGAGCTCGATGTTGTGCTGGTCCAGCTTCTTGTACACATGATGCCTAAACGGGAGAGGGAGGGGAGGTTGAGAATCTGGGTTCCCAGTCCCCCTGCTCTCACGCTCAGCTCCCACTCCCCTCCAAGAGAACCCAGGCATTCAGGCTTGCATTCCCCCCCTGCTCTCACCCCCTAGCAAGCCCAGGTTCCTTTCTACACCTGCAGAGAGTACTGCATTGCTCCCATTACCAGCCGCATCCCCACCCCCTCCACCTGAGTTGGCTGCATCTCAAGCTCTCTAGAGCAGCACTTCCCAACAGGTGTGCCATGGCATTTTGGGCTGGAGCCACGCCCCCTGCCTGCTGCCACTGTGGATACAGACAGACAAGGAGCATGGCTCCAGCACAAAATGCAGTCCAGCTAGCCACACACAGCCCCCTGCCCCCCAATCAGTGTCCAGCTAGCCACGCGCCATGTCCCTCCATGTCCAGCATGCCACAGTGCTTTTTTATTTAGGTAAGTATGCTGTGGGGCAAAAAAGTTGGGAAATGCTGCTTGAGTGTTATACCCAGCCATTCCCCAGCTGCTCTCTCAGAGCTGGCTGCCTCTTGAGCCCTCCCCCATATGCTGTTATACTCATCTATTCTACCCCAGAACTGTCTGCATCTTCCTTCCTCTCTACAGCACTATACTCGGCAGTTCCCCACCCTAGAGCTGGCTGCTTCTCAGCACCCCCCACATCATGTGCTGTTATATTTCGGTTCCACCCCAGAGCTAGCCACATCGTCACACTATACTCAGCCAGTCCCAGCTACCCCACCCTAAAACTGGCTCCACCTCAGGCTTCCTCATGGGGCGTCATAGTCAACCATTCCCCAACTGTTCCCCACAAGAGCTTGCTGCATCTCAGCTTCTTTCTGTGGTGTTATACTTGGCTGTTCGACATCCCAGACCTGGCTGCATCTCAGCCCTCACTGTGTGATGTTATACTTGGCTGTTCCCTAGTCATTTCACTCCACAGCTGGCTGCAGCTCGGCCTCTCTTTAGCATTATGCTCAGCTGTTTTCCAGGCACCCCAGCCCAGATCTGGCCATATCTCAGTCTTCCCCATACAGTGTTATACTCAGCCATTCTTACAGGCTGCACCCTGGAGCTAGCCACATCCCAGCTCCCTTTCCCCATTACACTTGGCCGTTCCCAGCTGCCCCCCACAGCTGGACTCACCGGAAGGAGATGTAGTCATCCTGGTTGGCAAAGGTGACCACGCGCTTGCTGTCCTCTTTGGGCACTGGGAACAGGTACTTGAGGATGCTCGTCACCTGGGAAGGGAGGGGAGGGGAGGGACAGAGTGAGGGAATAATTTAGATATGGCAGCCCCCACAGAGGTGCATCCCACCACAAATCCCACCCCAAACCCAAGCTCTGCCCTTTCAGCTCAAGCCCCTTCCCTTCTCTTCCCTTTGGCCACACCCGTTCCTCAGAGGCCCCACCCAAACTCACACGCTGGCCCAGGCGAGAGGTGAGGCCATGGAAGATGAGATGAGGGGCAGCTTGGGGCGCAGGGCCGATCCCAGGTACGTCATGGCGCATCACCACGTTGGCCAGTGTAAAGTAGGCTGTAGGGCCCAGTGGCAGGTGTGACACAATCAGCCCATCTGGGGGCAAAGCCAGGGGTTGGGGGTGGCGTCAGCAGGGAGGGAGGAGCGGGATCTTGCCAGCAGGCCATATGCCCCCAGCATGCACTGCTTCCCACCCACAGCCCCCTCCCAACAGGCACTGCTCTGCATTAGCCCTGGCTACATCCTTGGCTCCACCCCCTTCCTAGCCTGCCCCACTAGGCTCTGCCCACCACCCCTTCCCAGCATGCACTACACTGTGTCACCCCTTGCCAGATCAGTCCATCTGGGGATGGAGCCAGGGGAGATCAGAGGGGCCTTGCCAGCAAGCCCAATCCCTTCCAACAGGCACTGCCCTCCTCTTATCACCCCTCAGCAGACACTGCTCTGTGCCACACCTTGCAATCCTTGGCGCCACCCCATTCTCAGCATGCACCACTAGGCTCTATCCACCAGCCCGTCCCAACATGCATGTGAGAGAAGCATCTCCCAGCATGCCCTAGGGCCAGGGGCAGGAGGCGGTCCAGGAGGATGGGGCTTGGCCAAGAGGGGCATGGTAAGGGACAGAAGAGGTGCAGCCAAGACAGGGTATGGCCAGAGCCAGGGGGGCCGGAGCATGGCCAGCAGGCAGAGGGGGTGTGGCCAAGCCACCGGCTAAGAGGGCAGGGCCAGGGAGCAGAAGGAGCAGAGCCAGGACAATGGGTGGGGCCAGAAGGGGCATGACCAAGCCAATGTCCAGGGAAGCAGGATATAGCTAAGAGAGCAGGGACATGGTGGGGGCAGAAGGGGTAAGGCCTCACCAGGGACACCACGGTGCTCATGAAGCAGCAGCAGGTCAGTGAGGCCATTGGCGCGACAGGCGTGGAGCAGTGTCCCCAGCTCTGCCCGGCCCCGGTTCATCCGCTGTGCTCCCGGGAACACCAGCTTCAGCTCCTGCGGAGGGGGAGGGATTATCCTTAAACCCCACCCTGTACTGCCCAAGCCTCGCCCCTCCCAGCTCCCAGGACCACCATGGCTACAGCTCTGCCCTGTCCCACTAGAGGGGCCTCCTGAAGCCCAGTCTCCAAAGCAGAAGCCCTGATTAGCCCAGCCAGCCCCATGTCCTTATATAGGTCGGGTCTCTGTAACCTTTGACAAGCTACAAGCCCTGCTCCTTCTGCCCCTGTCCCCAGAAGCGCCCCGCCCCGCCCCACCGGGAGTATATACCCCACCCCCTCCATTTACAAACCATGCAGCGGCTTGAAGCCCCATTCCCCTCCCTGGGATAGGCCCCTCTAAACCCCACCCCCTCCCCAGCACTCGCC